TGGTCCTGTATTTTGAAAGCTTTACAGTGAATTTCAAAATCCATGTATAGAAAAATTAAACCAGGTAGAATAAATCAACAAAATGTCCTTACAATGACATACCAGTTTTGTACAGTATTTTAAATACTACTATTTCTTTAATTTAACATCAAACCTTGAACATGTCTCCTCTCTCTGAGGACCATTCCAGGCCAATAACAAAATTTAGACAGATAGCTGTGTAATGCACCTTTAACTTGACACAAGTTAAATTCAAAACAAACCCAGAATGTTTAAATGCCCCGCTCCATTTGGCTGCGCCCCACAGTTTTTAACCAATCACTGTCCGTGCATCTGTGCATGCATCTGTCTGTAAAAATATATCTCCGTTCTGCTGCTTTGTTTAAGGCCTCAGAGTGAAGCAATTAACGGTGTTGGCATATCCAGGGCTCTATCTGAACAAGTAGGGACGCAGGGCGGTTGTTTTTCCGTTGGCCGTAGTGCTGCCCTTTAAGCATGAGCAACAAAAAAGAGACAACTCACAAAATATCACATAAAGTCAGTATCAAACTTCTATCACGCTTGATCCGCCTTGTAGTAGCCTGTTATCCCTCCTTTCTTTTTCTCCCAATGTCCTTGAGCTTGTGGGTGTTGCCTGCCTTAGAGGGGGGGTGTACGCGGTGTGCTTGTTGGGAATCACTTGGCTGGGCAATACACGCCTCCGCAGCTCGTCTCAAGGCTCTGTATAAATTCTACACCATTGACAATTTACAGCCCTCGCCCATCTTCGCTATGATGCAGTGAGCAGGGAGCCGAGCGTGTCCTGTTGCCACCACGCCAAACCCGGGCTAATTTATGACAGTGTAAAAATCCACAAAGCAGAGAGAAGGGGGCGACACGGAGATATACAGGGGCCTTAGCTGAAGAATGCTGGTATAATGTGGCATAAGGCTCTGGAGCGGACTGTTGTTTTACTGTGAAGTCCAATTGAAGAATGTATCAAAACACCAGGGCTTGAACAGAAGCTCTCAAACAATGAAAAAGTTTAGGATCTATTTTTTTTTATTCATCCAAGTTTGAAGTGTGTTTTTCAGGCTGCAGCTTGGTAATAAAATGAAACAAAAACTAGTTTATTGCATGGGTTTATTCCATGTATTTGTCTATGAAAAGAGGATTTTAAAAGGATTTGGGTCTAATTTTTACTCACGATTGCCATTTATGATGAAAGCAAACGTTGTTTTGGAGATATGGAGGTACACCTAAAGCTGGGGTATCAGCAATCAGTTTGGTTCTTTAGATCAGCTTTTTCAGACAGAAAAGTGACAATCAAAAATCAGCTCTCATCCCAAAGCATTAAATAGTGACTCCCAGAGCAAATTCAAATCTGCAAAAATAATATGTTTGCTAAAAAGGACCAAAAAAGCATGTTGTGGTCTGATTTGAACATATTTGGAACAGTTGAAATATACTTGAAACCCGAATGATTGAAATATTCCAACCAGTCCGGTTCAACAAAGTGAAACTAATACATTTCATTTCTGGACTTGTTAGACACAAAGTGAGATATGTCAAGCCTTTAGTTGTTGTAATGTTGATCGTTGGCTCACAGCTTGTAAAAAAATATATATATATAATGTTTAAATATCTGATTTTCTTTAAGCCACATCAAAATTTCAACAAACAAATTGGATTACTTTGTTTGGCAAATGTCCATTTGTATGTAAGGATCTATATCATATAGTGGCTTCACATTTAATCACAAAATAACATTTTAAACGATATTCCATTACTATACCATTAACTTATACTATATTAAAACAGCCACAGAATCAATGCAATTGCTTATGAAAAGTTTGTCTCTATCTTCAGGTCTAAATCTGCAAACTTCGGACAACTTCTCACATATCCTTTTAATGGAGTCCAGTATTTTCAATTTTTTGCACTCACTCACTTTAATATATCTGATCAATTTGAAATTAATACAATAAAAATGCAAAACTAGGCAAAAAGGCCAAATTTCCCTGAGTTGCATTTCCTTTCAGATTAGATACATTGATTCAAATACATGGCTGACAGGGATGTGACAGGTCTCCATTCGTATCCCTGCGCCGAAGAATGATGAAGATCGCGATTAATTACATCATGTCAAAACTTGTGAAAGCCGCCCAAAAGTTCCCTCAGCCCCGTCACAAAAACCGCTGACCAGAGCGATGGCTGACCTTCACAAAACCACCGGCTTTATGTTGTTCCTCACCTCCGCTTCTCGTCTCTGCGCTCATTTGCATATTTATCAGAGCTGATCGCAGTTTGACATCACTTATTTTATATTTTCTCCCCTGGACGTGCTCGCTGGAGAATGGAGGTATAATGTGTGTGGTTATGGCAGGTGAGGAATGTGCTGAGGGAGCGTTTTGATTCCGATGTGTTTGCATATATTCTGCTTCAGTTGCGTTCGCTCTCTCACTGTATAGCACTGTCTCGTACTCCGACATTTTTGTTGTTGTCTTGTTAATTCTTATTGTGTTTGGGCTGGCATCATTGGCCCTCTGAGACAGGCCCATAGAGGCTCCAGGATGAGAACGAGGAGTGATGGGGAATTTGGAATTAGAGCAGTGGATGCGGATCATGGGCTCACACACAGTGCCCTTTGAAAAAAAAAAAAAAACTTAAAAGACCGTTCGAACTACAACTGCCCTTTTATTGGTTTCCTCAACTAGTTGGTAAATCACCTTTTGAGTCACTGTATCTGCTTTAAGCATGCTTGGAACTGAAATCTACATCTTAGGGGCATCTAATTTGGTTTTAGGCTCTTTTACCATCAAACTACATTCAACCATTTAGTAAAGGCACACAAAAAAAAAAAGTAGGGGTTGACAAAAACCCTAACCCTACATCTTAAAAAATCCAAAAAGAAAAAAAATAGATCGCTTTCTTCAAGGAGTGAAAATCAAAGGGTTAGGGCTGGGGTACCTCACTTTCAAACCATTTCCTCGTTCTCAAAACAGTTTAGTTCCATCACTAGTTTTTCTAAATAAATACTACTATTACTACTACTACTACTATTACTGCTGCTACTATTACTACTACTACTACTATCATCTTTCAACCCAAAGCCTCAATTAGTGACTCACATGTCTCAAAATGTAGTAGCATGGAAAAAAGAAAGGTACACCAGCAAAAGTATGTGAATGGAGAAGACGTGAAACTGCAGTAATAGACAATAGTGTAATTGAGTACATATAAAATTGACACTGATATTGGCACTGGCATTTCCAAAATATAAACAAATATAATCGATTTAGATCATTGTGGATTTATTGTAGATTTACATAGTGAGAACGCTATCATTGTATTGTATCATTCTAATGTCCAGTATAGACATGCTTCAAACCCACTGTTCATAGAACTTAAAAAGGCAGGACATGATTCACTTAAAAACTACTGAAATAATCTTCAGGAGACCTCTGAAATAAAATATAATATTTTGCATGTTTGTGTAATAAGAAGGTATCAGAAATAACAATGGCAATGTTCTTAACCTAAAGATTTGAGGACATTGGTGGTGTCTGGTGACTCTTAAAGTCACACTTCATTATTTTAAGTTAATAAATAACAAAATACAGCGTGAACCAACCTCATGAATCACAGTGCTGTGAACGGCCATGACCAGACTTTGAATGAACGTCATGGATGTTGTGATTGCCTCCCGTAGTGGGAGAGGCTGTGTGCTTCTGGTCATATTGAAGGCAATTATTGCTGTAGCATTGTTTTCATTTCAGCTGCAATTCCTCCAAACTGTCAGCAAATACAGAGGAAATGTCTTTTTTCTGTGAGTTTAATCATTCTTTGTTACTTCTGAAAGCCTTAGTTCCTCAGACTGGTCAAGGAAAGCTCAGTGTGCGTGCTGATCTACAGTGACACCTACAGATCACCACATGTCACTGCATGGCTGTGTGTGAGGGTGTACTGTACACTGAACACTGCTGGTGTGACCTTCTTTGCTGCTTGTCAACCATATATTGTAAAGTGATCATTTCACAGTGCCTGTAGTCGTTGGCTGCTGTTCTCTGCTCCAGGGCGGCCTCTGGTCTTCGCTGCTTCATTTAGTGCTTCATTGGCTGACTAGGCGCAGCAGAAGCAGAGGAATGCAGAGAAATGCAGAGATACAGACAACACATAAACACAACAGCTACTAGGGGAGCGTTTGTGGCAGCCCTGAGGAGGCATCAACTGTCACACTCTCACAGTCATGTGGGATGAACACTGGATCTATTGTAAGCTCTTGGAGCCTGCACCAGCTCTCAGACTAAATGTAGCATGGCCATGATGCTTGAATTCCCCGACAGTCAGGACCTTGGCAGCTCTGCTTTGGCGCACTACTTTCTGGCTTCTTGGATTTTCTGTGGGAGAAGTGTGTGGCTGATTACAGACTTTCCTTGTACAGCACTCCTATGTGCTCGCATCAGGAGTCCATGCTGTGGCCTGGGGTCTGGGCCAAAGGAGAATCACAAAGTGATGGAATTTCACAGCCACCAAGCACCCAGCGGCTGGCCAGACTGCAAGCACTCACATTTACGACAAGCGGCCCGCCCCACTCCACGGAGACTCCTGAATGGCAAAGCCATTTGTCTATATGAAGGGCATAGAGAGAAAAGGAAATACAATCACTAGAACAGTTAAATTGAACTTTTTTGTTTATGAGCCCTCACACGTAAACACAGACTCAACTAAATTGGAATTAAAGAGAAGGAAAGGTGCATACCCTGTTGCTAATTAGCATTTTCTCTGCTCAGCACAAGCAGCCAGTGGAATCAATAAGATATTAGAGTTTGTATAACAATGGTTCACACAATCACTTTAATCCATTTGCAAGAGCAGATTAGAACAGAAACTCTGAAAACAGCCTGACCGCTTCAGAGTGTACTTCTGCTGCTCATTGTTTTATAACAATATCACATTTGTTTCCTGCTTAGATTCTCAAAGTGCTTAAATACTGCTTTTTTCATACGAGTCCTATTCAGATGGATCTCAGAGAAAAAGGTAACTGCTTTAAATAAGATAAAGATAAGAGGAGACTTCTCAAAATATGAATCTTGATATTAGAGTATTAGGCAGAGCTTATTTGTTTGCAAAATAATAAATAGAAGTATTGTACAAAACACGAAAGGATGCATTGACAACATAACAAGAGAAACACAATACATTTACTTTAAGAATAATGCAGATAAAAGCAGAAAGCCACAAGATAAATAAATAAAGCCTGTTTGTGTGAATGAAATGTGTGGCTAATGAAAGAAAGCCATAATGCATGGCTCACGTTCACATTCTTGCAGATATTAACCCACTAATGTATTATTAAATGTTCTCATGTGTGTGAGATTGACAGCTCACTCTTTTGACATGATTGTAATTGTGTGTTTGCCTCCTGTCGTCCTCAGAGCATCTAAACCAGGAGAAAGAGAAGAAGCTGGTTTTCCTGACATCGAGGGTGCACCCCGGGGAGTCTCCCGCCTCCTTCGTCTGTCAGGGTAACGTTTCCATGTAGGGTCATAGGTCTGAGTGTAGTTTACTTATGTAGCTGTACCACCTGAATTATTTTTAAATGTAGCATCTTAAATTCTCATCTAAACGGAAAAGTGTCCTTGAACTTGGACATGTTTAATCTCCAACAGCTGATCAGGTCATAGTGCATGGCTCTAAGCCCTGCACCTCTTTTGTTGCTGCTTCTGCAGTCTCGGCATATCACTGGAGTATGGTGCATCATTACGAATCAGATGAGCTGGCTGCCAGCCTGGTGTGTGCTCTCTGTTTTTCCACCGCCGTCAGCTCCATTCCATTTGTATTGATTTGGGCTCTACGTCTCCTGTTCCTCTGATTCTGACGATGCCCCCTCGCTGTCCTTCCATCTCCTTTTGTTTCACAAAACTCAATTAACTGCTGGGCCATCCTCGCTTTTCTTTGAAACTCTATTCTTTGTGTCTGCGTGTTTGTGTGTCTTCAATAGGTGTGATTGACTTCCTTGTGAGCCAGCATCCAGTGGCACAGATCCTTCGGGATCATGTGATCTTCAAAATCGTTCCGATGCTGAATCCTGATGGAGTCTATCTTGGAAACTACAGGTACACAAATGCATTCACTCTAACAGCTCATTTGTTTATTTGAATACTTGCTGAATTGAATTCCCAATTTGTATGTCTTCATTTGTTGCTACCTGGGATTATATCCTCTTGCTCCCGCCTTTAGGAAGACTAATGAATTCATATAGCTCACAGCAGTGCATTTGTTGTAAGATAGTGTTTGGCCGTAGGGTCTGTTCTCTCTGCCGGTCTTTAACTCCGCTGCTGCAGCTCCATGGGCATCCTCCTCGCCTCCATTTTCCTCTTTCCTCTGTCCCTTCTTCATAATTGCCTTTTACTTAATAGGCTCAGCCCTAGGAATACTAATGCACACTTAGATAAGATCACTGCTCACTCAGCTCCAGTAGTGTTTACCGCTGCCATCTGCTGGTACCTCTTGGCCTGACATTTATGCAACAAATGTTTTTTTTGTTTTTTTATTTTTTTCCCCTAACATTAAAATTAAATGTATTCACATTTCTGTCACTTCTGGATATGCCTTCTCAGTCACTCTGTGTTATTTTTTGTTGCTGGGTAGTCACTTTAAATCATATTTTATACAAAAAGAGCCAAGGTGTTTCTCACATCTGCAGTTTGAGGCAGCATCTGTATCACGAATGCCTGTGTCATGAGAGCGGCCATAGGTAAATGTCAACGACTCCCAACATAGCCATCAGGTGGAACTACTGTGCTTGCACACCATCATTATATTAATACAATTGTGGAGATGACAGTAATAAGTGCCTTTGAATACTTTGCACCAGGTATTTACTCAACATTAACCCATGCCTGACAAGTATTAGGACAGCTATATACTTATGGTATAAGAGGGGAATGTTCAAACTATAGCATGCCATTAAAAGGTCAAGGTGACAGCAGTCAACAAGCAGATAAACCCTGTAACAGTATTAACATATGTGAAAATAAATAATGTGACCTTGTTGTTAACCTGATCAACTACATTAGCCTTTATTCCAAGACCAACAATCAATTATTTGTACCCATTTCCAGATATCATGATCCGGCTAAGTATCAAAGATGTTCTGGCCCTGTACATTTTTGACCTTAGTGTATTTTATGAACAGGCTCCCTTATTCCATTAATATTTATCATGTGGTCCTTGGCACTGTTTGTTCACAGGTGTTCACTGATGGGCTTTGACCTAAATCGTCACTGGCAGGACCCCTCTCCGTGGGCCCACCCAACACTACACGCTGTCAAACAGCTCATTGTCCAGATGAACCAAGACCCGGTAAGCCGGACCACACTCAGTCATAACCCCACACATTCATACCACACTGCCAGCTTCCCAAATGCACCTTTTCTTCCCACTGCTACTTTCATTGGATTCTGTGTGTTTTGGCTGTGAGCACCAGGGAGTGTCGAAAATACTCGTCAGCATCTCCAAATGTCAAGCGCAGCTCTCCTGGCCATTCAAAAACATATTACTGAAGCAAGTCTGCGCGCTGTCTGTTTCAAACTTGACAGTCAGTTTTTCAGATTTCCATCTGTAGAAAGGCTACAGAAACAGGCCAGGGAATGTTTTTTCCTAGTCTTTGTTCCTGATGTTAATTATAAGCAAAGCGGCAGGTTGGTGGGATTACTGAAGGTCAGAGAGTGTCCTGGGAATACTCTGCCCTTTTGTACTCTGCTCTAATCCTGATAAGAGAGGGAGCGGGCCGGGCCGGGACAGGCCAGGCCAGAGACAGGCTGGGGCGCTGGCTTTGCATCGGGCAGATTAACCTTTTCCCCTGGTGCTGACACACAGATCGATAGGCTCTGTCATGGCAGCTCCATCCTCTCATGGCTGTCATTCACACACATTCAGAGCCTCTCATGTTGTGGGCAGACACACATCAACACAGTCATTGATTACACCAGCCATGCCCGGGCAATGTGTCAAAGGTTCTACTTAACCATAAAAGAGTTCTCTCAACCCTCTCCTGAAGCTTCACTCTGAATGTGAATAAAGAAAACGATATTGAGTACTGTGCCCAAATGAGGCTACATGGACTGTTAGCTCCTTAGGCTCCTGTCTCCTGAATAAAGCTCCTTGTACTGAGGTTCAGAGATCTTCATGGTCAGACACAGAATACATGAAGGACTTAATCCAGCGTTATAATTTCAACCACAGCCTGAGATCTTCCTCTCAGAACCTGTCACTGGTTCCTCACACTTGCTCATGGAGAGGGATCATTTAAGGCTCTTGCTAGCGCCTTGTTTCTGGATGGGTTGTATTGAAAGTGTGAACTTTTGTATGTATTGGATTTTATATTGCCTTTGTTACAACATTTGTTCTTACTTCTGCCTCATAGTCATACAGTAGTAAACTGTTCCACTCATCCTGCAATTACAAAATAGAACTAAAGGTTGTTTTTTATTTTTTTAAATATGCCAATAATTTGCCTGCCTCACTGTCTATCATAGAGCTCAGCACCAATCACACATCTCCTTTTCTCCTGCTTGCCCATGTCCAGCTCATTTGATCGGCATATCAGTGAATGTAGCCAGTTATCAGCCATCGCCAGCTCTCTGTCATTTCAGTTTAAAAAAAGAGCAACAAAACCAACAGTTTAGAAGGTAACTGAGACGAGGCAAAAAGCAAGGACAGAAATAAATGTCTTTAAGTAATAAACTACACTATACAAGTGCACTAAGAAAACACACATAGACATTTAGCAGTGCAGTAAAGTGACAGTAGCATAAATTGACAGTAGCATAAAGTGACGGCCATTAGGGCAGGGGACAGTAGTGATTTATGAAGTGTTTGTGAGTCCAACTGCAGAGGAGAAGAAACTGTTCTTATGGCGGGAGGTTCTGGTCCAGATGGACCGTAGCCTCCTGCCTGAGAGGAGTGATGCGACCAGCCCGCCCTCAAGATCGGGCGACGTACAGGTCCTGCAGCGATGGAAGGCTGCGGCCGATCACTTCCTCTGTAGAGCGCACAATGCGCTGTAGTCTCTGCTTGTCCCTGACTGTGGCTCCAGCGAAACCACACAGTGATGGAGAAGGAGAGGATGGACTCGATGATGGCCGTGTAGAACTGCACCAACATCTGTGCAGGCAGCTTGGCTTTCCTGAGCTGCCGCAGGAAGTACATCCACTGCTGGGCCTTCTTGATGAGGGAGCTGATGGTCAGCTTCCACTTGAGGTCCTGGGTGATGGTCTTGCCCAGGAAATGAAAGGGCAGAGAGAGGTTCTGGGATTGATTCCACCTCCAGATGTGGCCTTTCTGTGTGTAGTTTGCATGTTCTCCCTGAGTCTGCGTAGGTTCCCTCCGGGTGCTCCGGTTTCCTCTACCACTAATAACATGTACTATAGCTATGCTTTCTCTGGGGCCAGGACTCCCCTGAAAAAGAGATTCTAAAATCTCAGTGGGACTTCCCTGGTTAAACAAAGTTCAAATGCATTTGGAGTACTTCTGTGTGTCCTCTCTACATTGGCAGTTAATCTTGTCAGACACTGTGGAGCAATAGGATCTGTGCTGCTTTCTTCCCTCTGCCCATGCCTCTGCCCATGCCTCAGCTTGTGCGTCTGCCCAGGACCATAATCAGGCCTCTGACCAGGCCCCTGTTCCCTCACATAGCAGGGGAAAACTGTAATGTTGGAGGGCTCTGCAGGTCCTTTCCATTAATCAGAGATCAGCTTCACAACAGTCTAACCATCAGGCTAAGCTGCTGATGTGCTATCTACCAACTGCTAACTCAATTAATATTTGATTTGGTTTGGAAAAGTTGTGCAGAAGGTCACTTAAATTTTTATCTTTATGCCACAACTTATTTTTTTGGGAGGAATTAAGTCTGGAATCAATTGGCTTATAAAACATTCCATCTTCCTCCGCTTCATCCGTTGCCGGGTCGCGGGGGCAGCAGTCTAAGCAGAGACGCCCAGACTTCCCTACCCACACACACTTCCTCCAGCTCATCCGGGGGGACCCCAAGGCTTTCCCAGGCCAACTGAGAGACATAGTCCCTCCAGCGTGTCCTGGGTCTTCCCCCGGGCCTCCTCCCGGTGGGACGTGCCCGGAACACCTCTACAGGGAGGCGTCCAAGAGGCATCCGGAACAGATGCCCGAGCCACCTCAACTGGTTCCTCTCGACGTGGAGAAGCAGCGGCTCTACTCCGAGCTCCTCCCATGTGACTGAGCTCTTCACCTTATCTCTAAGGGAGCGCCCAGCCACTCTGCGGAGGAGGCTCATTTCAACCACTTGTATCTGCGATCTTGTTCTTTCGGTCATTACCCAAAGCTCGTTCTCATCCCAGCCGCTTCACACTCGGCTGCAAACCGTCCCAGTGCATGCTGCAGGTCCTGGTTTGTTGGAGCCAACAAGAAAACATCGTCCGCAAACAGCAGAGATGAAATTCTGTGGTCCCCGAACCGGACCCCCTCCGACCCCTGGCTGCGCCTAGAAATTCTGTCCATAAAGACAGTGAACAGAACCGGTGACAAAGGGCAGTCCTGGCGGAGGCCAACATGCACCGGGAACAGGTCTGACTTACTGCCGGCAATGCGAACACAGCTCTGGCTCCGGTCCCCACCCTAACCCTACTTCTGGAGAACCCCCAAAGGACACCCCGGGGAACACGCTCCAACGCCTTCTCCAAATCCACAAAGCACATGTGGACAGGTTGGGCGAACTCCCATGAACCCTCGAGTAACTTTGGCTTATAAAACACAGTCTTGATAAGGTTTCAAACAGTGGCATGTTCACATAGCTAATTAATATATTTTTAATGGCAGTGCTGTTTTGACATTTTAATGTTGTTGTTGCCTGCTGTTAACTTTGTACAAGTGCATTAGACACTCAAGTCCTGTAACTAACAGGACTGATATGTTAATGGTGTCTGTAGGCTACAATAAATTATAATGGCTTGTTCCTGATAAGCGCAGTCAATTTAGTACAGCGCATATTTTTCTCTGTTTACAACATAATACAAGAATGCTTTGCATAAAGATCAACATTCTGTTAGGCAGCTATTCTTCCAAAAGCAAATCATTTTACATTGCAGGTTAGATTAACGAATATATTGATCAAAGCGTATCTGTTGCTAAAACCGATATTGATTGGATTGACAAATATTTTTGGTAAAAATTACCTATATTTCTTTCTAAAGCAAAATTTAAAAAGGTAAAAATGGGGCTGCTAATCCACAGATCTGTCCCCAGCTTCAGGAAACCAGCACAGACGTTAAAAGCTGATTGAATGAACAGCGCAGTGCAGTTGCTTTGTGCCCAGAGCCAAAATCTTGTGAATCATCATGACTTCTTTACTGCTCCCCTGTATCACCACAGATCTCATCATTCAAGGTCCCAGGCTGCACTTTTACCCCAGAAAGAGTCTGTTTAGTTTTAAACACAGATATCAAATGTTCTCATCATTCCTGTCACTTTGGCTGGGGCCTGTTCTAATCTATACCTCCGGCATCTACTGCTGGAAATGAATTGAATTTTCCACAAACAACCCTTTTCTCTCCCTATGAACCAAGACAATATTTTATCACTTGACTTTGTTGATGCTTTGTGAAAGTATTAAGTTTTCTGCAGAATTTCTTATAACACACACATTTTATTGTAAACATTGTAAAAGTGTTGCTTAATTTTAAAGCACTCACTATTTCAGAGCTTTTCTTAACGTAAAACTCACCTTCCTCTCTGCGAGCACGAAACTCAAGCCTATTTATGATGGAATAGGGATTTAAAGGCCTTATCTTCTGCTATTGTCCCTCGCAATAAATATAATATGGCAAACTGTTGTGTGCATAACGACCGGTGCCATTTCCCTCGTAAACTCGTCCGTTCCGCCGGATCTAAAGGCATGCTTCTGCTCAAGCTGTTTCATACAATCCCATCATTTACCATCTGCAGCTGAACATTGGTCAGTAGGGAGAATGGCTGAAAGAGTCAGTGATGCAAGGAGCTATAATCTGTTCCCAAGCCGCCACCCTGTTGTTTGTTTTGAAGCGAGAGAAATGGAGAGGCGAAAAGAGACCACGGAAACAAATGGACCCATCTTCTTCCTAAAGCGTGCCTTTTCCAGGTCATTTATCAAACGCACAGGAAGAATTATTTTTGATTGGCTTATTACTCGAAACATTCATCACCGGCCCGACGTTTCCTCGCCAATCTGACACTGCCATTTTGGAGAATTTGTTAAGGATGACAAAGAGGTCATTGTTGTCCTAGCTTCTGTTTGACCTTTTTAAAATTAGGGAATTAATTTTGAATGTGGGGCAAACGTATTAGGCACTGCCACACTACAAGTGATATTGCACCTTGCTGTCCTCTCGATCACCCTACTCCGTACACAATCCATCTTGCCCCACTGCTTGCATTGGGTGCTATACTCCTTGTGTTGTTTTTTTGTGTGTGTCTCCTTCCTGTCTTTCTCCCTGCTCTCACAGTATGTGTTCAAATGTCCAGCCATTAGTGAACAATTTTTTTACGATTTACGAGCAATTTTGCACCCATCATGACTGCATCATTTCAATCCCACCATCATCTTGTGCTTTATTCTGCCTCTGTTGGAAGCTCAATTGGTTGCTTTCATGCCCATGCAGCATTGGTATTCTTCAAGTGCAGACACTCACAGGTCTGCTCAATCGGCCAAACAACATATGTGTCTGATATTTTTGATTATTTTGTCTATTTGGCAGGTCCTCGGTCACAGCTGGGGCAGCTTTTTGTGGCACTATACGAGAACTAAAGCGTTGACTGTGTGCGCTCGCTCAGACTGATTACAACTCACCTGTGTGTTCATAAACGGACAAATATCCACATCCATTTAGGAGCAATGTTGCGAGAGAAGGTGAAAGGCGGCGCAGGCAGACGGAGCCCTGGTTTCGTGTCATCAATGCTCTTCTGTGAAGCAGGTCATGCCATCTGCCATGTTCTGTTAATGCTACATTAGAGGGTCACTGACCAAATGTGCCGTGCGCCCTGAGACGGCCTCTCTAATGAAATGTGGAAGCAGTTTAGCAGCCAACGCACAGTAGAAAAGCTCTTTATCCATATGAGACAAGACACATTCAAGGGACCCTATATAGATTGCATTCTTACTGGGTTAACAAAGTAAAATACTTTAGTTGGCGTAATCTATCCTGCATATGATGTAGTACTGATTACTGATGCAAACCACCAGCTGGGGTTTATCTAGAAATACTACAATCTCTGAATTAAATGTGATCAAACTTTTTTTTTTCTACCTGCTTTCTTGTAAGTACATGTATATAAATACATGTTTCTTATGCTTGAATTTTGTCACTGAAATCTATGTATATTAATAAGCTAATTTCCCCTAAACACCGGCAACCCAAATGAGAGACTGCTCTCTGAAATATTGTCAAAATATCATGTTCATTGTATTTTCCAGAATGGTTAAATAACATCCATCTATTTTCTGGGGACACATTTAATAGATGTAGATGTAATTCAGAACTAAAATGTTATCCCTCACATATGTAACGTGTCATAGTATAACAGTACATTTCTCCATGGAGACGGTGGCAATATCATTTACATTATCTGACAACAACACTTACACTTTGAGGCAAAGCTATGACAACTTTCAACTATCAAAGATATGAGAATTGCTACATGTACCTTCAGCTCTAAAAAATGGTCCTTTAAAATGAAATAATGAAAGGCAAATGTCACTAAGCCTGTCACACATCATGCACTGGAACCACAGTATTAAGTCAGAATATGAGACTTTCCCTCTGCACTTGAACAGATACATGCCTTGCTCAAGGGCTTTTGTCACATTTCTTTCTCACTTGCATCATTCCAGTCACAGCTCTGCCTCCTGCCCCTCCAGGCTGACTCTGCCCTCTTCAAATCCCTGTTTGATTTTACACATAGAGCAACTCATGTCAGTCTCCCCGCTGGCACTATGGCAAGTATGATAATGTGGATTAATATGCATTATACAGGTACTAAGTCCAGCCATCTTACTTTGAAAAGACAGCACTTTCCCATCTCCTCAAGAGCTTTATTCAGGAGCTTGTAATCCTGCTTCAATCAGCCCTTTTTTCTCTTTCCTGTAAAGATAAGCTTGCATTTACTGACTCTGCTGCACACCCTGAACACACCACGGGCTGATTAATAAGCAGCAGATAAGCACTTGTCTGAATAAATACATTCATTTGACCTACACTAAACCGACATAAGTTCAGCACAAGTTCCCTGAAGTTATTCTTCCAGTGCTGTGGGGACATGTTTTTGTATGGGTTTAATTTGGATGCCTCTTTCCCCCTCCTCACTTTCTCAAATTGTCTTCTGACTTTCATTTGGTAGCTACACTCTGTCTCTTAATTGCCCCTAATTGCTTAATTACAATTTCAAATGAACAATTCTGGAGGTCAGAGCTGGTTGTTAATTGAAGCATCAATCACAGCGTTGAGGCCTTCACCAGCATCAGCGTTTGAGTGGCAGTGCATTAATGTGGCATTGTAGTGGTTTGGACATGACATTGTGACGAGGCGACATGCCTGTTCCTGCTGCTGATACTGTCCCAGGAGTGTGAAGGAGAATTTCACCGGAACAAGAATGTGATTTCACTATATTTCCAATATCATTATGACTTTCTCCTGTCCTTCCGAAAGTGTACGCTTTGTTGAGAATGTGCTGTAATATACAATTAGTCTTGAAAGAGCCTCCCATCCATCAAAAATGTTTATTTCAATGTGTCATCGCAAGTGTGTCTTTGTGAAATGTGTACAAGTTATACTTTTTATGTCAACTGGAGCTGCTGAACTGTGCAAAACAAATTTCGGACCTCTGTGTCTGACAATAAAGTAATGATCTATTTATAGTTTTTATTTTAAGGCAAGGCAAGGCAAGTTTATTTGTATAGCACAATTCATACGCAAGATGGCATTAAAGTCATAAATAAGCACAGTACATTAAAAAGAAATATAGAAATATAAAATCCCTCAGTTGTATGTACAGCTAAACAGATTTTATTTTTTATTTATTATTTTGTTTATTTTATTGTTTATTTGGTTGGGACAGAACATGTTAATGAACACATTACTCTGGATTGTAGCCTTAACTGTCTCTCTATCAATCAAAACTTGTACCACACAGTTTTATAAAACTAAAAACAGAATAATCCAGAAAAAAACAGAAAAGGGGGCTGGATGAAGCAAACACGAATACAAATACAAACCCTCCCCCACACAACACAGAGACAGGCTATTTAAAAAAAAAACAATACAAAAGCACTGCAGCAGAACCATAACACAATATCACAAGGTATGTTACTAGACACAGAGGCCCAAAGTTATTCTGACCCTACACCCCTCACCTTCTACTCGCTCGATGCTCTAGGCATCACTCTTTTCAGTACTTCTGGTTAACAACTACATATTGCTGAACAAAAACAAACAAACAAAACAAGTTTAAAACATGCCAGGCTTGTTTGCTCCACACTGTATGAAGCAAAGCCAGGGTTTTGTTTTCATAAAAGTAAAACATACAGAAATAGTGTAAAGTGTTTTGAACAAATCAGACATTGAAAGACTGTCTTCATTTTATGAGAGAATGTGTTATCTTTTGCATACCTAATAAAGAGCCCTGTGAGTGACTAGTTGTCTCTCTTGTCTATCACTGAGTCAAATAGTGAGAGCTGATGGCTGAAAGATGTGAGGGAGGCCAAAAAATACATGCTTGTAAAACAGAAAAAAATGACTGTTTTAGAGCCAGGAAACATTTGTGGTTTATGGAAGCCCGTTTCCGCCATGTAAAAAAAAAAAAAAAGCCTACAGAAAGTCAAAATTTTGACTTTAAAAGTCAAAATTTCGACTTTTAAAAGTCAAAATTTCGACTTTAAAAGTCAAAATTTCGACTTTAAAAGTCAAAATTTCGACTTTTAAAAGTCAAAATTTCGACTTTAAAAGTCAAAATTACGAGTTTTCAACTGCGCATGTGCAGTTGAAAACGCGTATGTGTTGTTGTCTGGAACGGTCTCTGGTCATCCCTGTTATAGATCTATGACCATGGGTCATCCTCTACCTGCAGATTATGTGAAGATTTTGCCTACAGACAGTGACCACATCCATGAAGTAGCAGCAATAATGTTGTGGTAGTAATCGCGTTAAAATGCAAACGGTCTCTCCGTTTATGATTAGAATCCGCTTCAGAAGCCTCTATTTAGTTTATCCTAAACTGACTGTGGAAGATTAATAATAAAACACATGCGGCTGTTCAAAGTCATTGAGCATCAACTGGTGACATCTGGTCAGTATCACGGCTATCGATGGATGCACCAGAAATGCACTGAATAATATTGTGACTGACAGAGAGACCGTTCGCGATTACAGGATAGCAGAGGTGTGGACTCGAGTCATGTGACTTGGACTCGAGTCAGACTCGAGTCATGATTTTGATGACTTTAGACTCGACTTGACCAAATATAAAAAGACTTGCGACTCGACTTGGACTTTAACATCAATGACTCTGACTTTCACTTGGACTTGCGCCAATTGACTTGTAAAGACTTGCGTAACCCGGGCCATTTTTCTCCGCATCTTTCTTTCTATCTATGCCTATCTAAGCGGCACAACTCGGCAGAACACCGTCTCTGAAGAAACAAAGCCTCGCGGTAGTTGTAGCGCTCGCGAGAGAGTTTCGAACGTGAGTTCCCCGCAGTTCGCGCAGCAACACTTCCCTAAACAAGCGCACTGCATTCACCGGTGGGTGTGTTGTCGTAGGGGAGCTGGAAATGAGCGAGCTGCAGGTATTTATCGCGACCTAACGTCATATTTTGTTCTACAAACCGTAATTATATGCTTTCACTACAGGCGCCTCATACAATTGAATCGACGCAGTTGTCACACTGTGTGCCGTGTTTTAAAGAGGAACTGGTGAGTCAAACTAGCGCTAGCCTGCGCTGCTCTGTTGGCTCTTTCTTATATTTTTCTGTGTGGGCGCCGAGGCCTATTATTATGAGTATGTTTTTGCTGTGCTCCTCCTGCTAAAGTTTGCATACATTAGATAGTTGTTTTGATTATGTGCACTAAGCTAGATTAATATTTGCACTATTGTTTATGGTGCATTGATATGAGAATCAGTGCTTTGACTGATTGAATTAATTTATATGAGACATTTTAATATGTAATGATATATTGGTAATTATGAGATATTACTAATGCTGGTCCAGTTCATACAGGCCAGGTTCCTTCCCCTCCATTGGTCCCTTCAGTCCTTTTACCCCTCATACTACCCCTATCCTACAGTAGGACATTTGTAACAATAACCACTACGGACATTAAACTGATTATATAGATACAGGTCCCAGCCCAATACTGAGATTAATTGATTATAATATAAGCATACTATTCATATATGCTGCACTTGCTACTTCCCATTAAAAACCCCAGAGATAAAAAGTATGTTGACACGGACTGCTCTGATTTTATGTGTGGTCTGTGCATGTGTAACTGAGCCTGCATCTGGCACAACATCCAATTAGATCACATAGATAGTTTTGATTTACCAGCAGCCAACGACATGGAACAAACTGTTAGTCCATGGGTCAGAGACCAACGAAAATGCACCAGCAAAATGATTCCTAACATTATTTTGTTTGCCTACAAAAGTACGTGGAGACCAACAAGAAACAAATCGCAGTCAAAAAGACTCGAGAGGACTCGAAAGTCAAACCGTAGGACTTGGGACTGACTTGAGATTTGTTGGCCTTTGACTTGGACTCGACTCGGGACTTGCCTGTCTTGAC